GTAGGTTACATTGAGGTTCACTCCTTGGGCTGTAGAGTTCTATGGGCTTTGACAAACATAGAATGCCATGTATCTGCCCTTATAGCATAGAATATTTCACAGCCATAAAAATTCCCTGTGCTCCACCTATATATACCTCCCTCCCATCCCCAAACTACTGGCAACTGCTGATCTTTTTACTGTCTCCATACTTTTGCCTTTTCCAGAAGGTCATATAGTTGGAATCCTACAGTAGGGTAGCCTTTTCACGCTGACTTCTTTCACTTAGTAACATGCATTTAAGATTCCTCCATGTATTTTCATGGCTTGATAGCTTATTTCTTTTTATCACTAAATATTCCATTGCATGGATATACCCACATTTGTTTATCCATTTGCCTAGCGAAGTAAGTCTTGGTTGCTTTCAGTTTTTAACAATTATGAATAAAGCTACTATAAACGTTTATGTGCAGGTTTTTGTTTGGACATAAATTTTCAACTCGATTGGGTAAATGCCTAGGAGTGTGATTGCTGGATCATATGGCAAGACTATGTTTAACTTTGTAAGAAACTGCCAGAATGTCTTCCAAAGTAGCTGTACCATTTTGCATTCCCACCAGCAACGAGAGTTTCTCGTCAGCATTTGTTGTGTTGGATCTCAGAGGTTCTGATAGATGTGTAGTGATATTTCACTGCTGTTTTAATTTGCATTTCCCTAATGACATATGATGTTAAACGTATTTTCATATGCTTGTTGGCCATCTGTATATCTTCTTGGTTATATCTGTTTGGATCTTTTGCCCATTTTTCAATTGGGTTGTTTATTTTGTTGGGTTTTAAGAGTTCTTTGTATATTTTGAATGTAAGTCCCTTATCAGATATGTGTTTTGCAAATATTTTCTTCTAGTCTGTGTCTTGTCTTCTCATTCTTTTGACAGTATCTTTCACAGAGCAGACATTTTTAATTTTAACAAACTTCAACATCAATTTATTCATTCATGAATTGTGCTTTTGGTGTATTTGGTATCTAAAAACTCATTGCCAAGCCCAGTGTCACCCAGATTTTCTCCTATGTTATCTTATGAAAGTTTTATAGTTCTTTACTTTACATTTAGGTGTATGATCCACTTTGAGTTAATTTTTCTGAAAGGTGTAAGGTCTATGACTAAAGTCATTGTTTTATAAATGGATGTCTGATTATTCTAGCACTGTTTGTTGAAAAGACTACCCTTTCTCCTTTGATCCTTTTTTAAGGATAAGTTTATATGGGTCTATATCTGGGCTCAAGTCCGTTCCATTGATATGTTTGTTTATTCTTTCCCTAATACCACACTGTCGTGATTACTGTAGCTTTAGAATAAGTCCCAAAGCCAGGTAGGGTCAGTCCTCCAGCTCTATTCTTTTCCTTCAATATTATGTTGGCTATTCTTGGTCTTTTTACCTCTCTGTTATAAACTTTAGAGTGAGTTTGTCAATATCCACAAAGTAACTTGCTGAGATTTTGATTAGGATTGTGTCATATCTGTAGATCAAGTGGGAAAGAATTGAAATCTTAACACTGCAGGGTGTTTCTATCCAAGAACATGAAATCTCTCCATTTATTTAGATGTTTTTCGATTTCTTTTATTAGAATTTTATATTTTCCTCATACGAATCCAGTACATATTTTGTGAGATTTATAGCTAAATATTCCATTTTGGGGGTGTTCTTTAGCATTAATTTATGATGCATTTTTATATGTGATTTATTTAATTCTCAAAACAATTTTATGAGGTAGATACTATTATTATCCCATTTTTACAAGCAACAAAATTGAGGTTCAAAGAGGTTAAGTAACCTGCTCAATATCACAGAGCTATTGAATGGTAAAGCTGAGATTTAAACTAGGTCATCTGATTCCAGAATACCTGCTGTTAACAACTTCGGGAAATCTATATGGAATACAATCTATATGGAAGCATGTTTAAAAATCAGCAGAGGGTACTGCTATTAAATTCTAGTTTGCTTTGGATTGACTTATGACGCATACATACAGGGAACTCACCAAGTTCTTTGTTTCCTTCTCTAGAGACCAGAAGACCGGCCAGCCTTCTCCAGACTGTTGGGTCAACTGGCTGAAATCGCAGAATCAGGACTTTAGCAGAGACTCGGCGCCAGGCCACGGGCTGCAGATCCTGAATGAAGGAAGGATGTCCTCCTTGCACAGAGCATTAGAAGCTGCCACCAGCCCAGGACTCTCCAGTGGCAACGTGTCCTGTAACGCCAGTCCCTGAGCTGCCACGGAGGCAGCACCCTGACTGCAGCCGACAGCCAGGCCACAGGCAGGAGCGTCAGCCACAGAGCTGGGAGCCTGGCCAGGACAGAGGTGATGTCTCTGCCCTTCCTCCAGCCTCTTGTCATATACGGTGCACAAACCTCAATCTGACAGCTTTCAGGCAACATTTCTTGCACTTCTTAGCAATAGGGAGAGGCAGGGGTGGGATCCCAGATATTATTTTCATTATTATTTTAAACATGGATCTGAAATTTATGGTTCGAACCAACAGCACAGTATCCTAGGATATCAAATTTATTTGAACCAACAACACAGTATCCCAGGATATAGGGACAAGGAGAACAGGGACTATGACTCTTTTTCTAGAAAAACCAGTGAGTTAACTAAGGTCAGAAAGATGCTGTCAGCCACAGCTTCCTGCCGCAGAGGAGAGCAGAGCAGCTGCTCGCACAGGAGGCCGGATTTTCTGAGAAGCCGCTTTATGAGGTTTTACAGAGTACACTGGCACCTCTCTCCTTAAAGGGAGCATGGCGAGCTCCATTGGATGGATCGGGGTGAGCCGTTCAGATCCCGTGGTTGGAGTGTTGGTATCTGATGTCTGGACAGGAACAAGGGGGCATCTGATGGGGGGAACCAAGTGGTACAAAAAAAGGCCTTAGGTTTTACCACTCCAATCCTCACCTTTTATACCACGCCATGCATGGGACTATGCGTCCTCTTCTGCACAGAATGCTTCTGCTGGCAGCCCAGGAGGAAACGAGTGCTTCTGAATACTGACTCTGGCAGATGACTGTTCATCCTTTGTTCCAGCTCTGGAAATCAGCCCCTTCTCTGCACTATCCCGCCCTCAGCAATAGAGGGCAGCGTTCTGTTGGTCAGTGTGGCATTGCAGAGGCATCGAAGCTTGTTTAGGCCCGTAGGGTTTAGCAATTTAAAGGTTGAGATTTCAAAACTCCCATTCTTGCTCAAACCATCTGGATGGAAACAGTCAGACGCTGACTGAGGTGCTTCCAAGATGCACAAGCATTCCTACTGTTGACTGAGCATTTATATATGCAAAGTGAATATGGTGACTGTGTACAAGCTATTAGTTTTTCACCTTGAGTTCACACCCCATGAGGTAGTATTATTATTCCCATTTTACAGATAATAGAACTGAGGCTTTAAAAAGCCAAGACACCTGCCCAAAGTGACAGAAACTAAGAAGTCCAGAGCCAGGATCCTAGCCCAAATCTGACTCCAATGCATAGATTCTTTATTCCTATTTGACACTGCCTCCTACTGAGGATGAAAGGGATTGCAGAGGAGATTAATACAGCAGAGGGGAAGGACATAGGAAGCCAGTGAAGAAGTCAAAATGGAACCACCGGCAAATAATGTTACTTTTGCACAGGCCTTTAGCATTGGTTGTATGGCCCTTTAACTTGGAATAGGGTCTTGTCTTTCCTTGTCTGTATCCCCACCTTGGTCATAGTTAATGACTTTGGAGTCACTCAGTTAATTAACCCTTTCATTCTCCCAACCCACTAAAGTCTTGTTGCTTGAAGCTGTTTATAGATGAGCTTCAAAGCAGCTTTAAAAGATCTCCTGAAAAAATATGAATGCTTCCTTTAATTATCATTCCAACTTTGAGCTGTAGTCTCCTTGGATGTTTTGTGGGGAAGGATATTCCCTTATGTAAGAGAGATTTAATTTTCTTACAGTGCTCAGACAAAGCTTTTAGAGAAATTATTGGATGGAGTTTCAATTAGCTCTTTCTATATCATGTAATATTTTGACTGGCTTGAGATTCAGACGCATAACTTTTAACTATAATTATTGTGAAATGGGGAGCCTCAAGATAAAACTCTGTCATTCAGAAGATGATCTTACTCAACTTATCCAAAATTATCCTTGTTTACTTTTTAGCATTTTGTACATTCTCTTTTGGAACCCTTAATTAGAGATGATTTCTGGAACATTCAGCCTAGAAGAAAAACATTGGAATTGACTGATCTCTGTGGTCTGGTTTAGAAAATTCTCCACTGTATAGTATTATCTTTTTTAAGCTCAGATTCCTTGGGGCCTTAACTAAATGTGTAGATATTTCGCCTCCCGGTGTCCTATCCTGCAAAATGGGCTTCCTGCCTGGTTTTTTCCCCTCTCACATTTTGTAAATGGCGCCCTGTGTTCACAGAGAATTCCCTTATACAAGGCTTTGGTTCTACTTGCATATTGTAGATTTTGCGTTTTGTACCTTTTGACTATGTATTTATATTTGGATCAGACGAATATTTATTAGTGTACAGTCACTGCTAGTGTTCAAAATAAAAATATTACAAATATCTCTTATCCTTTGTAGAGCACAGAAAGTTAAAATTTGTACATAACAAATAAAGTTGTGTTTTAATAAACATAGCATGTGTGGCCTGGGTTCCATATTTACCCAAATGGCAAACTCTCAAAACCTTTCCTTAAGTAAAAATGGTTATATGGCTTCATCTTCCACAGAGAGGTAAAGACTACACATTATTCAACAACGTTAACTCAACAAGTAACTATCAAATGCTCCCTATGTGTCATGCACTCAGCAGAGTACAGGTATGCTCATGGAAACAGCAATCGAAAAGGCATAGTCTTTACTTTCCACTCTGGTCGAGAAGGCAGATGTATAAACAAATAAAATTATAATACAGCAATTAGAGCAACAACAAAAATATGGTCAAAGAAGAGGAGAGCCCAGAAAAAGGGATGGCGTCTACCAGGGGAGGGCTGCCATCAGGGGAAATATTTAGAGCCTTGCTACTCAAAGTGTGCCTGAAACAGCAGCAACAGCATCACCAGCTTGTGAGAAGTACAAATGCTCAGGCATCATCCTCACCTACTGAATATGAATCTGCATTTTAACGAGATCCACGGGTAATCATATGCACATTAAAGTTTGAGAAGCACTGTGACAGAGGATATAAGGTCAAAGTCAGTTTTGAAGATGAATCATGGTTTTTTTAGGTAAGCAAGTGGGTGGGTATAAAAGAAATATTTTCCAGGTAGAAGGAACAGAATGTACTGGGGAGCTATTATCAGTTCACTATTGCTGGAGCATGAGAGAGAGAGAGAGAGAGAGAGAGAGAGAGAGAAAGAGATTGAGAGAGAGAGAGAGAGAGAGAGAGAACGTGTGTGTATGTGTGTTTTCTCAGCAAGGGTAAGGGTGGTAGAAGGGGTGGGCAAATTGAAACTGAGACTATAAATCTAGGCAAGGACTATATTTAAAAAGACTAAGAAGTTGGAATTTCACTCCGTAGATAGAAAAGATGTCACTGCACAGGGAGAGAAGGTCAAATTTACATTTAAAAACATATTCTGGCAGCAGTGTGGTGAGTGGATTTGAGAAAGGCAAAGCTGGTGGAAGAAAAATCAATTTGGAGATGGTTTTTGCCTTGTTCACAGTACCAGATTATTGTTCATAGTCATTCACTGTCATCTGCTGTGTGGGTGACATATGGAAATTGTAATTCGCAGTTCTTCAGTCACTGCTGGACAGCAATAAATAGTTTTTCTTCTCCGTCTTGAGATCCCAGTGAAATAAAGTCAGGGCTGTTCTAGCCTGGGTGCGTTGAGCACTCTGTACCTTTCGCTCTGCCACATGCTCATGTCCATTGCAGGAACCAGCTCATGCACCAGTGGGCCACCAGACATGGACGAGAAAGCCTGTGGCTTCCATTCAGTCCCTCCTCGGACTCACCTCTGGGCTTCATTCCCACCGGCACATATTCCACACAAGAAACATCTAAGGCAGGTTGGATAAACAGATCTGCTTTTTGGAGGATTTTTCCTGCAGACTCTACTCTCCTTGAAATCTTTTCACACAGGAGCCCACCATTCACGGGAAGAGACAGGACGTAGCCCATTCAGCAAGACGGGGAGTGTGTGTGCCAGCATGTTTCAAGGGAGCTGCACATTCCGTAGTTAAAGGGTTCAGGAGGGTGATCTGATCAGGAAGACCAGGTTAGGGGTGAAAGCTGCATCCACACAGTAAGCACATGTTTTTACTTTAGAATATATTTAATATATTAATTTGCAGTGGCTTTAAGGGAGCTGCTAGAAATTTGGTGCACAAAAGTCCACTCCTCAGAGCCACTCCTCGGTGTCAGCACTAGGGGTGCATGTGTGGGTGTGTATGAGCGCGTCTACAATGACTTTGAGATTCTCCCCAAGGCACAATGCATAATTGGATTGTAAGATAACAGAATCATGCAGATACTGTCAGGAGTTTTAGAGATCATTCAACTACTATCGCTCTTTGCTAAGCATAGGATCTAAAAAGATGTCTAAGATATCTTATCAGTTAGGGACCAAACATATCACTCTCAGATTAGGATAATTCGAGGAGAACTTCTTTACAAAAAAGATCTGTTTAAAACTGTGTGGGTCAGGTTTAGGAAAACCTTAAGATGTGGTACAGAGGAAAATGACAGCTGAGAAGTAGTGCTATGGTTTGAATGTTTGAGTCCCTCTGGAATTCTTGTTGAAACTTTATCCCCAATGCAATAGTATTAAGAGCCAGTATGGGACCTGGGAAAGGGAGGGAGGGGAAAAGAAAAAGGAGGCAGGACCTTTAGGAGGTAGTTAGGTTGTGAGAGCTCGGCCCTCGTGAATGGGATTAGTGCCCTTATAAAAGGGCTTAAGGGACTCTCTGTCAGTCTCTTTTTGCTCTTTCACCTTCCACCATGTGAGGATACAGCGGCAACAAGGCGTCATCTATGGAGCAGAGAGCAAACCCTTACCACACGCCAAATCGGCCAGCACCTTGATCTTGAGCTTCTCAGTCTCCAGAAGTATGAAGAATATATTTCTGTTGTTTATAAATTACCCAGTATTTTGTTATAGCATCCTGAATGGACTGAAAGAAATAGTTACTGCCCCTAGGCCTGAAGGAACATCTGGAGGAGTCACCTGGAGAATGTTGC